AGAAAGACTACCTCTTACTGATACTACCTGACTTTGAATTTTTTTTATGTTTTATAACTCTAATCTCTCTGGTCTATATTTAGGGTAACTTTCTATCTGTTGTGTTAATAATTTCAGTGATTATATTCTTCATTTCTGGAGATCTTATTTGGTTCTTTTCCAGATTTGGTTCTTCTTTTCCATCATGCCATATTCTTTTACTGGTAATTAAATGCCTTGTCTGAAATCTTTTTAATTCTTACAAGTACTTTTGTTTGCTGTTCTGTTATCTGAAGGTCTTAGATGTTTAGTCCTGCTGTTTCTTGTTTTTGTTGATTCTTTCATGTTGGACTGTGTCATAGTTTTTTGAAAAATTTTTTATCATGAACTCCTTTTTAGAGGAGCTTATTTCATTTCATTTTTCTCTGTGAACCACTTGGGTTGTGCGTTATAGGAATATCCTTTGGGAGTGATCCAGATGCCCCCTAGCTCACTGCTGTTTTTTATGTTAGTGTCTCAGCTCAGTGGTTTTTAGTCCAACCATTACACTAGGGAGTCCGCTCTTTTGAAGGTGCTGGGTTTTTGTGTGTGTGTATTTTTCTTTTATTTATTTTATTTTAGAGAGGGAGCATACACAAGTGGAGGGAGCAGAGGGAGAGGGAGAGAGAGTCTTAAGCAGACTCCCACTGAGCATAGAGGCCGTCGGGGGGCTTTATCTCAGGACCCTAAGTACATGACCCTGAGCTCATGACCTCGATCGAGATCACTACCTGAGCTGAAACCAAGAGTTGGACACATAATCAACTGCACCACCCAGGCACCCTGAGGGTCTCAGTTCCAACTTCCTGCCTTCTATGGGGCTAAAGGCAGTGTCTCCTCTTTCCCCATGGACATTGAAACACAAGCTATTAGGTTATGGAAACTGACAACTTTCTTACAGTCGCTCAGTGTAGTAATTTGCCTCTTTGTTTCTGGCACTAGGTAATTAACACCACCACCCTCTCCCCATGCTCCCACCCCTACCTTTTTTCCTTCTCAGCTCAGCTATATAGAGCAGAATTTCCTTCTTTATCAGTCACTTCAGGTGTGGCCCATCACATTCTTAGAGCCAGATGTCAATTTGTTTTTTGAACAGACAAGTGATTGGGTAATGAACAGTAGAGGCAGAACAAGCCCGTAAAGGCCAGGACCATGAGCCTGACTAATCTGATATAATTCAATAGATTGTATGGTCACGAGGGTAGTGGATCAGATCCACAGGGTTCCAGGAGATGGATATAGCAAGATGGTAATAAATTAAATTCAAGGAGCCTTCAGGGCCAGGAGATCTCTGCCATGTAGTGTCAAGAATAGCCCAGGGTTGGGAAGGTCCAAGAAAGCAGCCTTCTTTACTAGAGGCTTCCCTGCTTTTGATTATGGGGGCAAGCCTAGGTTTACAAGTATTCCCTGCAGGTACACCTTGCTTCCGTCTAAGGCCACACTTCCGGCTACGGTTCTGAAATAGCTTCTCCTAGTCCGTATGTACAGTACCATTTTAGGCCTTCGCTTTCAAATTTTTTAAAAAAAAGTTCTGTGAATCCTTGAATAAACTTGGAGGATGTAGCCTTCCTGCCCACCCAGCCCCCACGAAAAGGGCAAGGCCCTTTTTGTCCTTCTGTCATTGGTGGCCAGACATTCTCTTTGTTGATTTGCAGAGTGCGTCAGAGCATCTGTGAGACCATACCTCTTCAAGGTAGTTTCATTTCTAGAGTATTCGAACGACAAAACTATTGTTGACCAACCTCCCATCTGAGTTACAGTACTTTTCTTTTCCTTGCAGGGTATTTTTCTCTGGATGTCTTTCCATCAACTCACATTAGACATAGCTCAAGTGGAACTCACCATCTCTAGCTCCATCTCCTACAAATGCTCCTTCTTCCAGTTTTCCCTTTTTTTTTTTTTTTAAGATTTTATTTATTTATTTGACAGAGAGCACAAGCAGGGGGAGCAGCAGAGAGAGAGGGAGAAGCAGACTCCCCACTGAGCAGAGAGCCCAGCCCGACGCAGGACTCAATCCCAGAACCTGAGCTGAAGGCAGACGCTTGACCATCTCAGCCACCTAGGCGCCCCTCCTTCCTTTTTTTAATGTTACTTTTTTTTAATTAAGATTTTTTATTTATTTGCGAGAGAGAGAATGAGAGACAGAGAGCATGAGAGGGAGGAGAGTCAGAGGGAGAAGCAGACTCCCCGCTGAGCAGGGAGCCCGATGTGGGACTCGATCCCGGGACTCCAGGATCATGACCCGAGCCGAAGGCAGTCGCTTAACCAACTGAGCCACCCAGGCGCCCTTAATGTTACTTTTTATTCACCTAGGTCTTTAGTTGCAAAACCTTTCCCTTCCTGATTCATTCTCCAGGTTCATTATTTATTTATTTGTTTGTTTGATAGAGAGAGACAGCGAGAGAGGGAACATAAGCAGGGGGAGTGGGAGAGGGAGAAGCAGGCTTCCCAGAAGCAGGGAGTCTGATGTGGGGCTTGATCCCAGGACCCTGGGATCATGACCTGAGCAGAAGGTAGACGCTTAACGACTGAGCCACCCAGGCACCCTCTCCAGGTTCTTTTAATTCTTTTATTCTCCATCTCAGATTTAGCATTCCTCAGGTTCCAGGACCATGAGTAGTTGATAAGTACTGATAATCTGTTATATTCTTATTACCATGCTAGGTGAGTGGGGAATGAGAACTATAAGACATGATCATTATCTTCAAAGAACTTAATATCTACTTGAGGAGACAACTTACGTTCACGAAAATAGTGAATAATACTAGACAGTGTATAATTAAATGCTAAATTGGATGGTGCAGAACTTTAAGTGTTAGACGGTGGAGGAAAGAAAGGGATAAAAGGAGGGCTTGAAGTGTAAGAGAAAGCGTAATTGTGGAATTGGGGTTTGAACTGGGTCTTGAAACCCCCCTCAGTTGGAATCAGATGGGCATTGAAAGTGAAGAGAAAGCACAGACAATTAGTGAGTACACTGAGCATGAGATTTGGGGAAAACGTTTGAGGCTCTGTATGTGTTGGGGACCAGTGAGAAATAGGAATTAACGAGGTTGGGTGACTGCTTTAGCTTTGGCTCTAAGCCTACCAGAAGATTCTTTCAAAGGTAGCATTTTAATTTTGATTGTTCCCCAGCTCAGAAACCACTAGAAGCTTCCTTTTCTTTTTTGATTCTGATTCAAACTCATTTTGGGAACCTAGGTCCTCTCTGATCTGTCAGCCTTCCCTCACTGGTACTTTGCATACCAGTTTTACGCCCACAACTCGCTTTCTGTTTGTTTTGACCTATGCTTTCCACTTGCTCAGGGAGTATCTACCTGATTTCTGTCTATTCCTTCTTCTAGGCCCATCTCTAGGCTTCCTGGATCTTGATGTTCTCTCTGATGACCCTCAGGCCCAGAGAGCGCTTTACTCCTTGGTTCCTCCTGAAACTCTTTGCTTTTGAACACAGTTTAAAATTTAATCATATACCTTTTGCTTCCTGATAATTTAGAATTATATATACATTCTCTTCCTTTTCAGTAGGTGCTAAATTCTGTGAGATGTTAGGTTGTGTTTTATATTCCATTGTTCCTCTTGGTACTTTATGCTACTCTGGGCATATACTCGATGTTGAATTGATAGCTTTGAAAGAATTTGTTTATCTTTTGATTGCAAATACCGATGATTTGTAATATTAGTGCTACTTTGTATAAATGTGCCTACTGACATGCCTGTCACACAGTATTCCCCTTAGTAAATGTGAATCCGATAGAAATTTGTAGTGGGTCCCAAGCCAAAGAACATTTTTCTGCTGTTTCATGGGAAGAAGAAAATAAGAGCAAAAGCATCAAATCCAAGTGTTCTGAGATACTCCTTCTGTGGTCTCCTCTTCAAGCGTCTCCTTAATCTGTGTCCTTAAGTATATATTATTCATTTGTCTTTGACACTTTTCACTTACTTCCTTATGTAGTTTTTCCTAAATAATTTATGTTTGTAGATAGAGATAAATTGTGTGTGTTAATTGAAGCTTAAGAGAAGAGATGGAAGTATTTTAGAAAGATTGATCCTTGTTAAACTCTATCTAATTGATCCAAGTTGGAGCTCTTCTTGCCTGGAGTTTAAAATTTTAATAAAATATCTCTAAGTGAAGAAATCATCTGTTGTAGTTGGAATCAAATTTAAGAAGACATTTGATTCTCCAGAAAATCAGATAGTGAAATGAACTAAGAACACTTGGTTTAGAAAATTGGGTTGAGTTAAAAATAACATTTTGTTGGGCTGTAGTTTTATTTTGTCATTTAACAGCCTCTTAAAGAATCTGAAGTGACTTTTAAAGCAAAGTTTTTAAGTATTTTATTTATTTGGTTAGTTAGGTTAGTTAGTAAGCTCTGTGCCCAACATGGGGCTTGAACTTACGACCACCCAAATCAAGAGTTGCTCACTCTACCAGCTGAGCCAGCCAAGTGCCCAAATTATTATTTTAAATAATACAGCTGTCCTCCTGCCTCCTTTAAATGTTTGTAAGATGATTTGAGCATGTTCAATTTATATATATTAGCATGTCAATTTTCTGAATGCTGACACAATTGCAGCAGGGCTAAAAAGCTACAAAAGCTGCAGATACCTGCCTTTAGAAACGTTCTAACATTATCTTACCCTTCTTTGTTTCAGAGAATGGTTCTTCAACAACATACATAGCTAATCTAACTCGAGTGTGCACACGGGCACGCATGCACGTGTACCCGTGGGCGAGTTTTAGTTCCTTGGTTAGCAAAATAAAGTAGTAAAGAAGCTGTCATGTGAGTCAGGCTGGACCTTCTTCAACCACAGTTTATATTGGTTTAACTAATTTCTTTTGAGGAGTGATACCTTACCAAGTCTTAACTTCTGGGAATGTTCTTGTTCTTTCCTGGTTTTCTTATAATGAAAGATAGTACTCGGTATTAATGGCCTCCTATCAGTTGGGATTTTGTTAGGCATTGACTCTTGCATTTGCTTCACAGGTCGTTTGCATTCGCTCAACTTGGAACGCACTCTCCCCAAAGCTCAGCTGTGACACGAGACCTCTCATTTTGAAGACCCTTAGTGAACTGTTTTCTCTCGTTCCTTCCTTAACAGTCAATACGGCTGAATATGAGGTACGCATTTGGAGGTCAATACATTTTCTGTTTCTACATTGAAAAGATACGGGCTTTATAATAACTTAGGGAAAAAGATATTCATACTCTTTGTTTGCCAAAAATCCTTTAACACTTTTTGTTCTAAGGACATGATATCTTTATGGACTGCTAGGAATAGGAGACTATCCATCCTTATCAATTCTGTGTCTTTAGGGTTTATTTACATAAAGGGTATCAAATTTTTATTATGAGACTATAGCCAAAATTTTAAAAAGTCAGTATGTAATAAATAAAATTAAAAGTCAGTATGTTAAAAATATAGGGTTTCTAAAATAATGGAATTCCTGAGGCCAAAAGTTTAAATTCATTTTATTAGTGTTTTTAGTTCTAAAAAAATACAGACTTTAATAGGGCAGGGCAGAATCTCCTATAGTATAGACATGTTGTCATTTGTGTTTTGCTTCTAGGTTTCCCATAAAGATTTGATTTTTACACGTTAGTTCACATTTCTTATATACATCTGTACGATGAGGGTGATTGTAAAATCAGACTATCTTAGGAGAGGAAAATAACTTTATGAGCTGCTTGGTATTTGTCATTGCAGTAAACTCGAACACTTGGTGGAAGCTGCTTTGTTATAAGATCCATATATTCTGTTTAACATTTTCTGTATCATCTCTTCTTGAAATGAGTGAAATGAGCGGGTGGTGAATTCATTTATGTCTCCACTTTTGTAGCCATATTCCCACTCATGCTTACCTTTTCTCTTTTTCCATTAAAGTGCAGCGATTGATTTTCACTTGAGATCTTTGTGAACTTTTAGTTTGATTTAGTGCTTCACAGATAAACTACCTCCCCCACAAGAATCCAGTAATAGTCCCTTACATGCTTTAGATTATGTGATAAGGCAGGATTATAAGATAATACTTCTTCTAATCATTCTTAATGCTGCACAGCAAATAAAATCAAATTTGTCCTTCCTGAGGATACAGTACCTGGCATCGTGCCTGGCACATAACACACATTCAGTTAAGTAGTTACTGAATGAATGATTCAACCAGTATAGGATGAGTTTATTCTCATATTTGAGGTTTTGTTTTAGGGTATTAAAAAAAAAAAGAATCCGTTGGAGACTCCTAGAGTATATAGTTTACCAATAGTCTTTTTTTGTGGAGACTGTTATGATATATGCCCTTACGTTGTCCGAAAGTGTGCTGGGCTACTGACAAAGAGCTAAGACTAAAAGCCAAAGTGAGGATGTGTTGTGTCTATCTATTTTCTGTTTTCAAGGACTGAACTCATATACCTGTGTATTGCTTGTACTTTGACTTATTCAGATTTTATTACAGGTTAATTTATGGACTGCTTTTTGTGTTGGTTTCTTTTGTTTGCTTACCAATGGCTGTAAAGTGTGTGTGTGTGTGTGTGTGTGTGTGTCTTCTTCAAATGTACATTTTTGTCCACCGGTGTCTTATTTTGGTTTATCTTCATGCTTATGTTAATACTGAGGTTCCTCTGTTGCTCAGATAGACTGCTTTGGAGCCATTCTGTCCATCAATTTCCTCCCAGTAAGAGAGAGTCGTTCAGTAACCGTAGTCCACTTGGAAGCAGAAGTCAAGAAATGTGGAGAGAGACTTCTGTCCATCTGTCTCATTCTGTCTGGCTGGCTCTTTCTCTGTCTCTCCCTGTTCCTCTCTTTCCCCCCATTTCCCCCTCTCTCAGCCCCAGTCCCTTCCTTTCTCCTTCCCTCTTTTCTCTCTCCCTATGTGTATTTAAATAATGTGTTCTCCGTTAACTGCTTATTGTTTGGATATAATTTTCCCAGAGCATTCCTTTGATCATTGTTCCTCCCAGTAACCTCAGCGTCTTGTGTTTGCCTAAAATGGAGTCCAACCTCTCTATACCTAACCAGTCAGGCCTTTTAGAATCCGGCCTCACTCTACCTTTCTGCCTCCTGCACTCTAGGAAAACTAAACCGTTTGGAATGTTTTTTTTCTGTCTCCAGACTTTTCTATTTCTTTTCCTCTGTGCACGTTCTTCTCTCTGTCAGAATTGCCTTTTTTTTTAATCCCCAATTTTAAAATCTGTTTTAGAAAATAATTGGTTTAATTCATCCCATTTTTTGCAAATTTTTTGTGCAAGCAGGGGTCTGTTGCTATAGACTTGATTCTTTATACTGTTCTTTATACTGTTCTAAGAACATTTATTTCTGTTTCATACTACAGGTATATGTATATATATTATTTTCCCCATTAAACTATAAGCTTGTTGCAAATAGAGAGCATGTTTCAATTAGTGTATTTTCTGAATGGCTTTGCTAAGTGCTTGTACATCCATTCATTGACTCAGAATATATTTAGTGAAGCTGTCCTAGGCTTTAGAAATTCTAATACATAATAGATATTCTTTTTAAGTACCTATTATATTCCCACCACTCTTCTCATTACTTTATACCAATTCGTTCTAATATCTCATTGGAAGGTATTATTTTCATTTTAGAGCTAAAGAATCTGAGGTTTTGAGAGGTACATCCATTCATTAAATATTTATTGAGTACCTGCTACATGCCAGACAAGGAGCTTGAATAATGTTGTAGTTTCTAAACAAAGGCTGGTGTTTAAGCCCGGGACATTTAGCTCCATAGCCTCTGTTTTCTCATTAGACCATATTGTCAGTCCCTGCCTTTCAAAAGCTCAAAAGTTGGCAAAAGAGTTGGATATAAGCAATAATAATTATAATAACATTTGATGAGTACACTTAATCAGAGGGCTACGAGAGTATGGTGGTGAAAGGGACTAGCATTCTAGAAGGAATCGAATGAAACCTTACTTAGTTGGTGCTATTAGACTAGGTTCTTAAAGAATTTAAAATAATGTTGCTTTTCATTGAAGTCTAAGAATTAGAATATACAAAGACAAGGAGGTATAGAACATTCTATGACTTAGGAGGGCAAGAAGTTAGATGTGATTGAAATGAAGACGACATTGAGCCAATGTTGGAAGATAAATGGCTTTTTAAGCTCATTACTTATTAAGTATTTGTCACTTGAGGAACTGGGCTTTATGGCCTTTATTTTTCTGGACTTTATGGTCCAGGCTTTTGAAATGCAAAAGACAGTCACTGTCCTAAAGAGTGTAAATCTAGTAGGGAGTTAACGACATACACAGATAATCATACTGGATGCTAGAGTGTGCCATGGGCCATATGGCCACTTGGTGAAGGGAGTACTCTCTTCTGGGTAGAGGATCAGGAACAGTGGCATGAAAGAGGGGAGTGAAATTTGTACTAGGTAGGACTTGAGAGGTCAGCCAAAAAACGTTTAGGTTTCTAAATTTAATATTAACATACTGTGTTTAAAATGTCCATGTGTTTCCATGATGCATCTCTTTCTGAGTATTTTCACCTTATGAATGATGGCTAATTATAGATTAAGTCAATCACTAGTGGTATACTTTTGAGTGAGTTAATTTTCACTCTTTGCTACTTTGGATTGTTCCCAGTTTTGTCTTCATCTTAACAATTTATTGTGATGTTTATTGCTTTTTCAGAATTTTAAAGTTCAAGTCCTCAGCTTCCTCTGGACCCACACTCAAAACAAGGTACTATCACAAGGGTGTTAGTGAAACAGAACCAAGCTGAGAAAGAACTGTGAAATAAGACTCTTGAAATAAAAAATATAACTCGAAATGATGACTTCATGATATTAAAATAATTGTGACGTTAATGAGTTTAGGTTTTAGAAATTCTTCTCAATTTACGCCCGTTAACACATTTTTGTCATGAAGTGCACTTCATTACTTTGGGTTGCTTTGTGAAGCTGACAGATGTGGAGACTGCTGTCATTGTGTCATTTTTTTTTTTAATGGCCCTTCCCCTTTCCTGCTTTGCCCCTCCCCCGCCAACAAGCACATCAAGCAAACAGAAAGTCCAGTTCAGTTTTTTTAGATATCATTTCCAATCAAGGAGTACAGAGAGGAGGGTGTCTGTCAGTGATGTTCTACTAGACTACTAGACTCAAGACTGTAGGAGCTGAGATTCCTAAGGGCTAACTTTCCTGGTTAGTAGCAAGAGAATCAGAACCTAATTCCAACCTATCAGACTCCCTTTCCTCACACTCCTTCCAACCAACCCTATCACGTCATGGGGGACCTGAGTGATTTTGAGTTACTTTATGTTTAATGTCCAAACTAGGATAAAAATTGAGTGCTTCTGATCTCTCTATCCACTACTGTTTTCTCTCTATTTTCAGTCGGGACACAGTAAGCAGGGCTTGAGTATCATTTCCAAAGCACTGACTCTAGAACTTTGAGGTTGGTGCGGTAAGATTTTCTTCGTTCCTCCAGAGTTGATGTGTAATGGGTATTGTTTCTTTTGTTTGTCTTACTGGTACCCTGTCTAGGATCCCATTGTGGCAAATGCCGCATATAAATCTCTGTCACACTTCAGTGCTGGAGAACACACCATTCTTCATCTGCCTGAAGAGGTAGGCCTGGGTTTTATAACTTTATTTGTATCTCCTCTCTTAGAAGATTTTTACCTGAGATGGAACTCTAAATATGTGCTCTATAAAAAAATAAGAATTTATATTTATTATTTGTTTAACCTGTAAAAGACCATAGAGGCCTTAGACCTCACAGATAATGAATTTAAATCTCTTTGAGGCTGATGGAAACCACCTATGGTGCACCCAAAGTCTCTGTAGGTGACTGGGTATAGGACTGCATGCCTAGGCCCCTAGCTTATTGGTCCAGAAGATCTGTGTCCCCATAGCAACTGTTTTGCCCAATTGGTATTCCATCTTGGACTTTAAATCCAAGCATGGCCTGCATCGACTAAAGTTGGTGCAGACTGGGGACGCCTGGGTGGCTCCGTCGGTTAAGCGTCTGCCTTCGGCTCAGGTCATGATCCCAGGGTCCTGGGATCGAGTCCCACATCGGGCTCCTTGCTCAGCAAGGGGCCTGCTTCTCCCTCTGCCTGCCTCTGTCTCTCTGATAAATAAATTTAAAAAATCTTAAAAAAAAAATATTAAAGTTGGTGCAGCCTGTGCAGCCAAAGATCCTTATTTGTGATACAAAATTGAGATGCCCCATCCAGAAAAAATCTATTTCTTAGTTTAGTATAAAAAGACATATGGGTTAGCCCCAGGGAACTGGATGAGGAAAGCATCGCTCTTTTAAGGGTTAACACATTGTGGGACACTATCTTGGTTTTTTTTTTTTAATTTATTTTATTTTATTTTTTTAAGATTTTATTTACTTATTAGAGAGTGCGCACAAGCAGGGGGAACGGCAGGCAGAGGGAGAAGCAGGCTCCCCGCCGAGCAAGGAGTCTGATGCGGGACTCGGACCCAGGACCCTGGGATCATGACATGAGCCAAAAACAGATGCTTAACCGACTGAGCCACCCAGGCATCCCAAAACTGATTAAAAACATACAGCCTTTTCTAATATCTACTGAACAGAACCAGCTTTAAATTATTCGGTTATGTTAACGAGCTAAGTGTACGATTTCACATTTTGTGTTGCTGCTAATTCAAATGCATACAAATGTTTGAGTGCCTCTAGAGTGTAAGGCAAACATTGTGTTAGAAGTTATGTGAAATGTTACCCAGAATCTGTGCTTAGGTCAAATGGCTTAAGAAGTTTTGGTACAAATTTCTTGGTACCCTAAGGCATTCAAATGGGTTGACTTTTTCTTTGGGATTGAGTTTACACAGAGGTTAGATGCCAGTAGGAACAAGGCAGACTTGTGTTGAATGACTTGAATTGGAGGGACTGATAAAAAGGCTCTTGTGAAACCAAATCCTAAGTCAGGCAGGATTTCTCATGTTGAGGATGCAGACACAGAGTGGCCAGCTTGTTGTGTGGTTATCACAATGAGAGGTATTCTGTGACTCATAAAATTAAAAAAAGATGGGACTCAGACTGCACTATGGTGACTAGCAATACTTCTTTAAAAAAAGGAAAAAAAAAGCTACCTGTAAATTTTGTATGGAAACTACCAGTAAATTGGCTACAACATCTGCAGAGATACCTTTTATTATTATTAATTTAATGAGCAATTGCTAAGTTAGATCACAGCATAATAATTACCTTACTTTTAGCTATTATTCATGAAATATTCCCTCTGGAGTAGTAGGTTTCATTAAATAACTCCCACATACTCTTTTTTTTTTTTTTTTTAAGATTTTATTTATTTATTTGATTGAGAGAGACACCGTGAGAGAGGGAACACAAGCAGGGGGAGTGGGAGAGGGAGAAGCAGGCTCCCCACAGAGCAGGGTGCCTGATGTGGGACTCGATCCCAGGACCCTGGGATCATGACCTGAGCCGAAGGCAGTCGCTTAACCGACTGAGCCACCCAGGCACCCAACTCCCACATATACTTGACTGTTTAGTCTCTACCTCTTTACATATTGATATGTTTATATCTGTTCCTACTTTGGTGGTTCTATTCAGTTTCTGATTGTGCTTTTTGGTTTATGCTCAGGTAAGTGCTCTGCTCAGGCAGATATTAAATACTTTTTTTTTTAAAGATTTTTTAAAAAATTTATTTATTTTTTTATTATTATTATTTTTTAAAAGATTTTATTTATTTGAGACAGAGAGAATGAGATAGAGAGAGCATGAGAGGGAGGAGGGTCAGAGGGAGAAGCAGACTCCCTGCCGAGCAGGGAGCCCGATGCGGGACTCGATCCCGGGACTCCAGGATCATGACCTGAGCCGAAGGCAGTCGCTTAACCGACTGAGCCACCCAGGCACCCTAAATTTATTTATTTGACAGAGAGAGCGAGGGAGCACAAGCAGGGGGAGTAGGAGAGGGAAAGGGAGGAGCAGGCTCCCCGCCAAGCAGGGAGCCTGACGCGGGGCCCGATCCCAGGACCCTGAGATCATGACCTGAGCCAAAGGCAGACGCTCAACCATCTGAGCCACCCAGGTGCCCCCAGATATTAGATACTTTCTTAATCTAATTCTTCAATATTCTCTGATCCCTGAGGAGCCATAAATACAGCTCTTTATACCTTCCAACGTAAAGGGTAGTGATAGAGTTGGGTTTCTATATATGCTTGGGTTTTCAACTTTAGAATGTGAAGAACTATAAAGGAAATCTCTAAAATTTATCCTTTTTCTGCCACGCTTCTCAACCTTTTTGCTACCCTTACCCCCTTCTGGGATTCGGCTTATTCCTCAGAGTAACAATGGCTCACTATAGTGGATAGTCTCAATTAGGTTTAAGATGAGGGGACATAAGTGATTTAAAAGAGTCCATCTTTGACCTCCAGTTTCTGATATAGACAACCTGCCTCCTCATGGAGAATTATTGCTTCCAGGACTGCACAATGCATTCTTCTTCTTTTTATTGATGACTGAGTTTCCCTTTGGCTGTTTGAATACCTAAGGACTAAAAAGTCCAGCAAATGGTCAGTGTGTTCATATCCCAAACAAGCCCCCAAAAGCTAAGGATACAAGTGAGTCAGGTCCCCACCTCCGTCTGGTAGTTGATAGCAGTGAGGTGAAACTGAGGCTCATCTTCTATAAAACCATATTTTCAATGATTTGAAAGTCCCTGCCAGGTAGGGTCTTTTACAGTGTAAAAACCCAAGATTCTTCCTTGTTGTCAGAGATTACTCACTCTGCACCAAGGCTTACTCACAAAACTGAAGGTTACCTCTGTACCTTTCCAGTAAAAGTACATCCACATTCTGTGGGTTTGTGGAAACTTGTGAAATATCTTTTAATGAGAGTGCTGTGAATTTCGAATAGAAAGAAACAGCAGAAAGATACATTGTATCCTTATCAACATTGCTACTTTTATGGATAATTCAGCTACTTTTGTAAGTACTAGGTCTCTTTAAATTTACTAAAGATAGATTTCTTTGTTCATTGTTGACCAATGCATCAATTTAAGCTGTGAAACTTGTTGAAAGCTCACAGGTTAATAGAACAAAAGATGTTAGGGGAGTGGCAGATATCAGTTAGGGTTGCATGAAACATTACAGGTAAGGTAGGATGGAAAATGTCAATGATTAGTAGAGCTGAATAAGATACCATGTGAGTTAGGGAATTTGAATATCAATTAACTCATGTTTCTTGTCATTGGTTTGTTATTAGGAAGTTCTGTGGGATTATTAATGATAGACACTTCACACTTGCATCGGTTTAGCAATTATTTATTGGACATACACTAAGTACTAGGCCATTTTATAATCTGGGAATGTTGAATGAATCCATATGTTTTGTTGGTTGGTAAAAGCGTCATTGTTAATCACTTGAAACATGCAACTCTAAAGTTGGTCAAAAAGTTTCAGGGGGCTTTTTTGAGGACTTGTTGATTCCAATATTAAGAAATGGACACAAATTATTTTTCTCCTTTAGTTTGTATTTTTTTGTTCTGCTTGGCTGTTTATCCTTCTCCTCTGCCTTCTTTAATGTCCCCCCAACCGAATAAAACAAAACAAACAAAAACAAACAAAATACAGAGAATTGATCTTCTGGTGAAACAATCAGTAATGGATGAACCTTTAGGTAGAAGATTCATTTTTGTCTCTCACTTGGGTTCATTAAAAAAATATTTAGTTGTTTAAAAATTAAACTTTTTATTTTAGAGATCTTAAGATAGATTGTGTTATTGATTTCTGGAGTTAATTTTAGAAGCGAGTAATGTAAGAGAACTCATTATGTATCCTGAGTTGGTATTAATATGGTGTAACCTGTTTGGCTTTCATTTAAGTGAATGTCACTGCATTCATCAGAAGCTGTTTCTCTTTTTAAATAAATTTATGCGGATACTTGATGTGTTCTAAATAAAATCCTGTGTTTATGCACAAACTCCTGGATTTCCATAGGTTATACACTAGAAAATACGGTTAAAAGGTTATCTGGCTCAGAACCCGTAGAGGAGGCATTTTGTAGGATAAGCTTTCCAATATTCAATTTGAAGCAGATTCTAAAAGTAATTTATCATTTTCTCTTTGGCTCTCCACTTAAGTTTTTTCAACAAAGCTTAGCTATAATTGGAAGGGTGTAGTTGTGTGTGTATGTACATGTGTGTGCACGCGCGCGCATGTGTGTATGTATTTTAAATATGAGTGCAGTTTTCCTGGATGTTTTAGTAGCTAATGTAATATAATTACCAAAATGTTATAATTTTAAAGGTATTCTTTTACATGAAGTCTCTTGATGTTTCTTAGTTGTGCGCACATTCATCTTATTCAGTCGTTACACACAAAGCAAGTGAAAAGCCTGGGGCTAGCATAGAGAAGCTGGAACAAATATTTCTTTAAGGGGTGAGCAGAGGAAGAGGGAAATGTAATGAAACCAGGGTTCAACAATAAGTGCTAATATGTTCAGGAGAATTAACTCGCCTTTGAAGACACAAATCACACCATTCTAAGTCGGCGGAGTATATCAGCTATTCTTAAATGACAGTACATCTGTAGTTTCTTTGTTAAAATATATGCATATGTAAGATGCAGACATACGCTCTTTACCACATGGCAGATAAATTAATATAGGCATCCAGTTATGTGAATGTAAAATTAGACACCATAAGATAGATGAGTGGATCGTTATTTTTTATTTCCAACCTAGTAGGTCTTTCTTTATCGTTTCTAAGAAATATTGATGGCTTGGGTGCTGTGACTCATTTTAAGTAATTTAGGTTGACCGAACTGAAAGACTGGGCGGGCTAAAATAAGTGCAAAAATAATCCTATCCCTTTTACATTAAATAATTCTGGAATTGGAAGCATTTGGTCATTTGCCATAGTTCCTACACCAGTTAAGATCCCTCTGAAGGTGGTGACAGCTTCTGGCTTCCACTGCCCCCCTCCCTTTTCCTCTACCACCTCCTTCTTATAACCTGCCTTCCTTCCAACCTTCCTCTTTCCGTTCTTCTGTTCTTATTCAGCAGCTTTATTGAGCTATAATTCTCATTCCATATAATTCACCCATTTAAAGTGTACAGTTCGGTGATTTTAGTATATTCAAAGATCTGTGCAACTAATCGCAGAGCAACCACAATCTAATTTTAGAACATTTTCTTAGTAGTTAATCCCCATCACCCCTTTCCCTTCCCACAGCCCTAAGCAACTGTTAATCTACTTTCTGTCCCTCAATTTGCCTAACCCAAACCTTTCCTATAATGAAATCACATAGTATGTGGTCTTTTGTGACTGGCTCCCTTCACTTAGCATAATGGTTTCAAGGTGCATTCATCTCTAGCACGTATCTGTACTTCACACCTTTGTATGACTGAATAATAAAACATTGTGTAGATGTGCCACATGTCATTTACGTATTTATCAGATCATGGACATTTGAGTTGCTCCCATTTGGGGGCTATTATGAATAGTGCATTCACACATGTATGCAAGTTTTTACGTGATTGTATATTTTCATTTCTCTCGATTCTATAGCTAGGAGTGGAATTACTGGGCCATGCGGTAACTCTGTTGAACTTTTTGAGAAACTGCCATACTGTTTTCCAAGGGGGCTGAGCCATTTTATATTCCCACCAGCAGAGTAGGAGTGTTCTGATTCCTCCATATCCTCACCATCCCTCTGAATTTTCATGGTAATTTACATGTTTACCTCTGTTTACCTTTCAGCTCCCCAAATCTCCCGCCATTTGTACACAGGGTGTATGTCAGAGCTTCCAGCGCTTGGATACCCTGGTGTGGTAGCTAGCGTTACCCTTGGAGTCTCAGGCTGTAAACATTGTTGTCTGTTTCCCCCTGTATGCTCTTCAAATATTATTTTCAATTTGTACTATGATGTGTAAACAGGAAGCAAGGCAAACGAAACCAGGACCAACTCCTTTTGTGGATCTTCTTAGGCAACTGGGACTGGTTAGGATCTCTAAAATAACTCCTGATGATACTAAACCTGGCCCATTCACAGTATGTACACAGACCAGAGACACTTGGAAAACCCCCACTTGTGAGAGCCGAAAGGGTTGCAAATGTGCCCGAGTTTCTCCAGTAAGCACTGATACCCACAAATGCTATCTTGCCCTATGTGGAGCATACATTATTGTTATCTCTGTAATTATGGCTGGCTCAGTCCTCTGAGAATTAGGTACTCAATATTGAATCAGAATTAAATCATGTCTTGGAAAATGCTCGGGTAGTCAGGTTGCTTTTATTCCTTCACTAGTGAAGAGAACACTAGTTATGGTTGAAAGGCTTCATTGGATTTGAGGTTATTATACTTAAGAGAAGCGTTTCCTCTCTGTTTTCTTTTATCCCCCTGCAAGAATCCTGACTCAGTGCAGTTCCTAAATGGAACAGTGCTTTGGGGACCTATGAAGAAGGCAGTCTGCAGGAATTGTTAATTATTTCTAAAAATAACTCTGGGAGACAGGCTAATGGTAATGACTGGGTTCTGGCACTTTATGGTTATAGCAACCACTTTTATATATTTTGATTCCTCCCCTTATGCTTAATTATCTCCATGTGGGCATTGTGATGGTGTGTCATTGAAAGTATTAAAAATTTAATTAATTGCTTGACAGTTGTATCTTGTAGAAACTGCAATAGTGGTAATCTTTTTACATTTTAAAATTTTTGGTTCAAACAAACCTAAATTTTTGGTTCAAATAAAACCTTCAAATTGCAAATTAGACACAGTAAAGTATAGCTACCAGTTACAGATTTTAGTGTTTTTATATTCTATAGCAACAAACTGCCAAGTCTAAACGAAAGTCAACTAACGCATTCTGTCCTTTCCTGATCTCTAGTATATATTCTACTGGAAGATTTTAAGCTTTGCTGTAGAGATATGGCTAGAATCAGAAGTTAAAAAAAAAGTATTCCGACAAGGCAAATATTTAATTACAAACCATAGAAGTTCAATATATTGAATGTGTCAGTGTTTGCATTTTATTGTCAGATGGTGTAAAATTTTATTAGTGTTCTATAATAATCATCGCTTACGCTGGCTTATGGTAATTTTCTTAGTATATTACCATTAGTTCTTTACATGGATCTGGGATTGTATCTACTAAGATAGAGTTTATCATTCAGTTAATCTGAAAATGAATAGATATTTTAAAATTAATTTTCAATGGTCTTTTGACATTACAGTGCAATGAGTCTAACTCAGTTTTTAAATCTCGACATAAAAAGTGCAAGGAAAAGATTTTACATAATGTTTTAGTATTGCCTTCTCTGTCATTTCAGATAAGACCCGAAATCCCTACTCCCGATGAGCTAGATGAAGACGAAGATGATGAGGGCGATGAGAAGGATGTGGATCTTTCTATTCCTGGCTCTTGCTATCTCAAACTGTTGTCACTTACTGCTCCTTTGGTCTTACCAGGTGACTCCTATATAGTGGCAGGGAAGCCAGCATTTTTCAGGGATTTTACCTGTCTGATTGTGTTCTTTTGTGATGTGTACATATGATAGCTTACTTTAATTATGGCTTACTTTCTGTCTGAAAGGCATGACGTATCCATCTGTTGTAGAGGGACTGCCTGAGGTAGTGATGGTGTTCAGAACACACTGAAAAGCATTAGAGTCGAACAAAATTGAACCAGAAAACTATTTTAAACAACCATTTTCAGCGAGAAATTAAAATTCATTTCAAAAGCTATATTCTATGAGACCAATTTGCAATGGGACTTTAAGTCGCTGGCTCCAATAATAGTTCTTTATTCTATAAGCTAAATGAAAAGATGGTTAGACTCTTCAGAGACTTACTGGGTACTTTCATTTATGAATTTATTCTTTCTTTAGAATTATTCCAAAGATGGTATCAATATTTGAGAGCTGCAAATTAATGGTTTAAAAAATGGATTAAATTGTTTGATCATTCCATTTTGATAAAAAGCTGACAGGACCTTGACATTTAAAGAAATTATTCTAATTATATCTAATTATTCTAATTCAGTCTTAGCCAACATTTTGCCGAGCGTGCATCTATTACCTTGTTCTGTCCCATTTCTACCTTAAATATACATGGATGTATAAAGTCAATTTCTGAAAATTAAGTTCAGTACACTCAAGAAATGTCATCTGGTCAATCATAATCTCAATATCCTATACTAGGGGACATTTTTTCCCTTGGTTTCACCCTACATAGAGATTTCCTGAGGAATTCAGGCAAATATATATTATCTAGTTTTAGACAAAGCTCCTGTCCCTTCCTTTTCTCTTGATGTCCAGAACAAGCCTTAAAGATTTATTCCCTGGTCCTCTCTTCTGTTCTTCCCCACTTCCGGAAAGCTCTTCAGAGTCTAGGACCCCTTTGCTGTTTTAATAGTCCTAGGAAGGAAATAACTGTTATCCAGAGTTCCTCCTGTGTCCCAAAATCACCTTAGAGGGAAAAGTTCTTTTGGGCTTTTTAAATGACGTTGTTCCCCTTTCTCCACACCCTCTCCAACATTTGTTGTTTCTTGCCTTGTCAATTTTTGCCATTCTAACTGGTGTAAGGTGGTATCTCAGTGTGGTTTTGATTTGAATTTCCCTGATGGCTAATGATGTTGAACATTTTTTCATGTGTCTGTTAGCCATTCGTATGTCTTCTTTGGAGAAGTGTCTGTTCATGTCTTCTGCCCATTTTTTGACTTGATTATTTGTTTCTTGGGTGTTGAGTTTGAGAAGTTCTTTATAGATCTTGGATACCAGCCCTTCATCTGTAGTGTCATTTGCAAATATCTTCTCCCATTCTGTAGGTTGCCTCTTTGTTTTGTTGACTGTTTCCTTTGCTGTGCAGAAGCTTTTTATCTTGATGAAGTCCCAATAGTTCATTTTCGCTTTTGTTTCCCTTGTCTTTGGAGACGTGTCTTGAAGGAAGTTGCTGTGGCCGATGTCGAAGAGGTTACTGCCTATGTTCTCCTCTAGGATTTTGATGGATTCCTGTCTCACATTGAGGTCTTTCATCCATTTAGAGTTTAATCTGACATGGATGGAACTGGAGGGGATTATGCTAAGTGAAATAAGTCAAGCAGAGAAAGACAATTACATGGTTTCACTTATATGTAGAACATAAGGAATAGCATGGAGGACATTAGGAGGAGGAAGGGAAAAATGAACGGGGGAAATTGGAGGGGGAGACGAATCATGAGAGACTATGGACTCTAAGAAACAAACTGAGGGTTCTAGAGGGGAGAGGGGTTGGGGGATGGGTTAGCCTGGTGATGGGTATTAAAGAGGGCACATACTGCATGGAGCACTGGGTGTTATGCGCAAACAATGAATCATGGAACACTACATCAAAAACTCATGATGTAATGTATGGTGACTGACATAACATAATAAAAAAATAATAAATAAATGATGTTGTTCCTAGTGACGTGGGTCCGTCCCTCCAGTCCTGTATTGGAAAAAGGAGAAGGTGTGGTCAAGGCATGCTGTTGCTTCTCTCCTCTCAGGATGTGGTGGCCAGTAACCTGTTCTTCTGCGTCGTTTGTTCTTGTGCTTTGTTCAAGTGCCCGTCTCTGAGAAAGAAGGGGAGGCTTTAAGTTCAGCAACTGTATCTGTTTGAGAAAATTCAGTAATTAGACTCAGATGAGGGTGCTGTAGATGCTGTCTGTGTCTGGCAAACCGTGTCCCCGTGGGCAAAGTTCTCTTTCTGTGCCTCACTTTCCCTGCAATGACCGGGCTAGTCAAAAAAGAACCAGGGGAAAGCACGAGCTTTAGGAATATGTACCCTAAAATGTATAGGGTGGAGAGTATAGATGAGATCTCTAGTGCCAGAAAGCCAGAAAACCCAGTTGCACTGAGTGTGAATGAATCCTGGTCCTTTTCTCCTCTTCTTGCCTTTTAAGTAGACGTAAAAGCAGCTGCAGCGTGAATCCAGTAATTTGCGTTATTTTAAGTGGGGATGTTACTGGTATTTATTTACTTTTTATTCTGACCGAATTTTAGACCTAAAAGAAGTTGCGAATACACTTTAGAGAGTTCCCGTGTACTTTTACCCCGCTGCACAACATCTCACATACCTTAGTTCGTTATTACAACTAGGAGATTCCCATGGGTACAAAGCAAGTAACCAAAGTATAGACCTATTATAGGGTTTCTCCCGCTGTTGGTGGTGGTGTTTTCCATATAGTATATACACTTTTTGGTTTAACTTTTTTTTTTTTCACTCAGCATAATGTCTTTGATATTTATCCAAATACTGGCCTATCTCAATTTTTTTTAATTGCTGAGTAGTATTCCACTGTGGTATGTACCAGTTTGTCCACTCACTTTTTAAAGGACATTGGGGTTGTTTTAAAAATTTATATCTAAGACCCTGTTCTACAAATTGTCAGCTCTTTTAAATTCTCACCTGGTCATCTGGAGGTACAGGGCCAGGCTCAGAAGCAGCAGAAAAATTCCTAGTTGCTGGCTTAGTGGTTGGGGAAAGATGGTGCTGTATGTATCGCTTATACTCATGGTATCGTACCCTCATTTAAACTGTTCTCGGGTCTGCAGTTAATTTGAGAATCCTTAGCTCTCTGAAGAGCTTGACAAGTAGACAAATTTGCATTCCGGAGTTAGTGTAAGTGCAGATGTGTACTTACCTCCTGACGTGTGTGAGCTTTTTGCCAAAATAGAATCCCTTCGGAGAAAGCGTGAAATTATCTTCTCTCACCATAGCTCCTCTGTCCTCCCGAAAATGATTCTTTGCTACATTCTGAAAAGTCTGTACTTAACACTCAGTGTGAAGCGGTCACACGTGTGCATGCATATTGGATGCAATTGGATGTTACTCATTTCTTTCATTTAGATGATGCATCGATCAGGGTCTTGACAGAAAAGGCACATTCAGATGGAGTCCAGGGACTCTTGACAGTTGTGTGGTCAGGGCTGAAGGAAATTCACAAGCAATGGTGTCTCATCCCAGAGTGGTTAATGCCTCTGGGCCTGAAGAGGTAAGGAAGGGGCATAACAGTTTGGAGAATTAGGGAGAGCATCTGTGTCATAATTAGTGCTGCCTAAGGGGGGCCAGGGCCTGCAGAAGAGGGATGCAGGCAACTGGTAGCAATCCTGCAGGAGGGGGTCTGGGGAATATATGCCCTGACCTCACTCTGTTTCCACCCTCTGGCCTCCTGCAAGTGTCTCCCATTGGATAAAGCCAACTGGAAGCCAAAGCACAAGGGAGCCTGTGGATGCAGTTGTTAAAGGTCATTCTTCCAGGTCACTGAGCAGGGTTGAGAGGGCAGAGGGTGGGTCTGGAGGGGTAAATGGAAAACATCCCACACAGGTGTTCTCCGGGCTGTGGATGGAGAAGCATGGTCGCATCTGTGAAGGTTCTATATAGGAATGACAGATCTGGGCACATAATAGATACTCTACTGAGCACTCGCTGCCTTTAATTTAATCATGGTCATTTAACACAGACTTTTCAATCTACTAAGAATGAAATTCCAGTTTCGTCAGGTGGACCCTTCTTTTTTGTTCCTATGAGAGGCACATATAGTGGTTTTCTTTTTTGTTTTCCACACATTTGTTTAGCTTTCATGTGTTTGTTGTTTTTGTTTCTGCATTGGCAACCTCTAGTGGTCCTTGGAAAAATAACACTTGAATATGAACCTATAGTCTTATCAAGTATTTTGTTTGGGTATCCTATTGTCTTCTGAGCCCATATTTCTGTCTATAATAAGTAGAAATGTTAAGCAATAATGTTATTCCGTGTGTGGTGAAAAATCACTGGAAGATGTTAGGGAAGGCAATGACATAAAATCCTGGCTTCCAGGCAGAGGATGGTTTGTGGGGTGGTCCTGAGGAGAAGACACCAAGAAGCTAGTTTTTAAATTTGGCCCGATGAAGAAGAGAGAAGATAATAACTGACCAAGTAGCAGCGAAAATGGAGAGAAATGGATGGATCTGGGATATATTTTTGAAGGCAGATCTAGAAGGATTTGCTAATGGATTACTTGTGAGAAGTAGGAGAAAGAGAGGAATTAAGAATGTCTCTGTTTTTAAGCTTGAGTAACTGGGTGCCATATTCTACTTTGGGAAAACTAAGGAAGGGATGGGGATCAAGAGTTCCCTGTTTACTTTGTGAAGTTTGGTTTGAAATATTGCTCTATGTCTGTGTATCTGTGTGTGTATAAGTATATACGGCAAGTGTATATATGTTTATATACTTACATATATATGTATACAGCAAGTATATATATACTTACACACACACACGCATATAGGAGTTAAGAATGAATGATTGATTCTCTCCTAACATACTATATTTACTCTACTTCTGATTTCCTTTCATCTCTTTCAGCTTTGGAGGAATTTTTTACATCTCTTGTGAAGCAGGAAATGGTGAATATGCCCCGAGGAGTGTATCACTCTGCATTAAAAGGAGGTGTCCGGTCAGACCAAGGAAAAACTGTAGCAGGAATCCCCAATTTTATATTGAAAATGTATGAAACCAATAAGCAGCCAGGTCTGAAACCTGGCCTTGCAGGTAAGTGCAGTACATAGTATCAAGGTACAGGTTGTTTTGTTTTGTTTTGTTTTGCTTATCACACACTGAGCATTTTATTTATTTGTGTGTGTGTGTGTGTGTGTTTATATTACTAAATACTTAGGATTTTTTTTTATTAGCATATAATGTGTTATTTGTTTCAGGGGTACAGGTTTGTGATTCATCAGTCTTACACAGTTCACAGTGCTCACCATAGCACATACCCTCCCCAAAGTCCATCACCCAGCCACCCCATCCCTCCCACCCCCCTCCACTCCAGCAACCCTCAGTTTGTTAAGAGTCTCTTATGGTTTGAGATTAAGAGCCTCTTATGGTTTGTCTCCCTCTCTGGTTTCATCTTGTTTCATTTTTCCCTCCCTTCCCCTATGATCCTCTTATTTCTCAAATTCCTCATATCAGTGAGATCATATGATACTTGTCTTTCCCTGATTGACTTATTTCACTTAGCATAATACCCTCTAGTTCCATCCACGTCGTTGCAAATGTCAAGATTTCATTTTTTGATGGCCGCATAATATTCCATTGTGTGTGTGTGTGTGTGTGTGTGTGTATGAAGGTGTAGGTTTTTAATGTAAGGATGTAACTTCCACTTCCAAGACCGATGTGATAGGTCATGGCAAATCACCACTGCTGCTGACATTTTGACACAACTGGACAAATGACCAAAAAAAACCACATTTTAAAGGTATCAGAGAACTGTAGAAGCAAAGACAGGTAGACTAGAACTACAGAATGGGGAGAAAGAGCACTTTAGGACTGTGCCCCCACTGCCCCATGGGAGATAGTCACTGATTTTGGTTGTGTGCTAGGATTGGGACTTGGCCCAAGAAGAGGTCTGTTGGAGTATAGAGGAACCAGTGGAGCTTTTAGTGGTTTCATGGGTTTAGAGTGATGTGATGGCTCCTTTTCTATGTCAGCTTGACTGGGCTAAGTGATACTCAGATAGTTGGTAAAACATTACTTCTGGACGTCTTTGAGTGTGTTTCCAGAAGAGGTTAGCATTTCAATCAGTAGACTGAGGAAAGAAGGTCACTCTCACCAATGTGGGTGGGCAACATCCATTTCACTGATGGCCTGACTAGAGAGCTAGAAGAAGGGTGAATTTGCTCTTTCCTTAGCTAGGACATCCATCTTCTCTGAATTACACTGAATTACTGAATTACACCACCAGCCTTCCTGGATCTCCAGCTTGCAGACAGCAAGATCATGGGACTTCTTAGCCTCCATAATCTTGTGAGCCAATTCCTATAATAAATCTCCCCATATAGAGAGAGAGAAAGGTGGAGGGGAGAGGGAGAGGTGGGGAGAGAGAGATTGAGATTGAGATTCTGGTTCTCTGAAGACTCTGACTAATAGAGGTGAGAAACTAGAGATTTTTCTCATAAGCTATCTGACTGAATTTTGAGTTTGCACGGAAAGTTAAAGAACTAGGCTGGTGCTTCTGAGAGGCGAAGTGAAATCTCCAGCCTCCCTGTGCTTAGGAGCGAGGAGAGTGGGCCTGAAAACAAAGCACACGAGTAGTGAATTGATACTGAAGAGTTACACCTCTTTTCACCTGGGAGCACTTACTTAGTCTGGCCTCAAATAGAGACTGAAATTCAGGCTTGACCTTAACAAGAGGCTGGTGCAGGAGGCAGAGAAACCAACAGAGACCTTGTCATTCATATGGTGTCTGAGTGGTAAAACTGGGGACTTGTGGGACCTCAGACACATAGCCTATTTCTCCCTCAAGATACTTGTCAAATTTCGAAGGTTTATGGGATGGGAGGTTAAAGAGCTAAACTGAAAACTTTGGAGGACACATCTGAATCTCATAAGCTTTTCATATTGAGGAGACCAATTAGGATGTCAGATGAAAATCTTGGGGGAGGCATGCCCTAGGAACAGGGTTGAACCAGAGGGAGACTGAGATTTACCAAAGCTATAATCAAGCCTAACCCAGTTCAATCTCTGATTCAATTTAAATCAGTCCTTTGTTCTATCTACCTGAAAGAGGGGAGGAGAAACTCCTCTCTGAGTAAAAAAAATAATATCATTTAGGTTTTCTGTGCTTCCTTTGTATACTGTCCAGTATTCAATGAAAAGGAATGTATGAAAAAGAAAAAAGCTTTGAAATGAAGGGGACATTTCATGGAGATAAAGAAGTCATTCCACTAAGAAATTATCACAGTTCTAATCAGTGTACACAAAATAGCATAATTTTTAAAATATATGGAAAACATTCACACAACTAAAAAAAGACAAAATGGACAAACCTACCAGAAGGAAGGTGGGTGGGGGCCTGGCTTAATAGGTGATGGGGATTAAGGAGTACACCTGTTGTGATGAGAGTCAGGTGTTGTGTGTAAGTTTTGAATCACTCTGTTGTACACCTGAAACTAATATTATACTCTGTTAACTGGAATTTAAATTTTAAAAAAATGGACAAACCTACAATAATAGTGGGAAACGTTAAAACAGTTTTTTAAAGATTTTATTTATTTATTTTTGAGAGAGAGAGATTGAGCACAAGCATAGACCAGGGGGAGGGGTAGAAGCAGACGCCCCACTGAGCAGGAAGCCTGACATGAGACTCGATCCCGTGACCTGATCTGAAGGCAGACACTTAACTGAGCAACCCAAGTGTCCCTAAAAAATGTTTTAAAGTGAGATACCTGGGTGGCTCAGTTGATGAGATCAACATAATCTTGATACTGAGTACAAGAAGGGAATATTATAAAGCAGTCTTTTCCATTATGCAAAGTTGTAAAAATACCCAAAAAATATATTAGAAAATTGAATTTAGCAATACAGAGGATAATACATAACAACTAAGAGAAGTTAATTTAATGTTTGAAAATCAGTATAATTCAGTATATTAATAGAAAAAGGCAGAACAATCTTTAGATGATCTCAATAGATGCAGAAAAAGCCTTTGAAAAATTTTGTTCCCATTCATGATGCAAAAAAGACTGTTGGGGCGCCTGGGTGGCTCAGTCGTTAAGCATCTGCCTTCGGCTCAGGTCATAATCCCAGGGTGCTGGGATCGAGCCCCGCATCGGGCTGCCTGCTCCGCGGGAAGCCTGCTTCTCCCTCTCCCACTCCCCCTGCTTGTGTTCCCTCTCTCACTGTCTCTCTCTCTGTCAAAAAATAAATAAAATCTTTAAAAAAAATAAAAATAAAATTTTAAAAAGAAAGACTGTCATTAAACTATGAATGGAAGGGAACTTTTTAAAATTCTCATAAAGAACATCTACAATGCTGTCTTTGTACTTCATACTGAGATACTGAAACCTTTACTCCTGAGATTGGGAAAAAGATAGGGATGTTTGTTATAAGCACTATTTTTCAGGATTGTAATGAAGATTATAGCTAGTGTAATAAGCCATGAAAAATAAATAAAAGTCATAAGGATTAGAAAGGAAGAGGTAAAATACTAATTATTTGCAGGCAAAAAATTAGCCATTAAAATAGTCATCAGTGGGGTGCCTGGCTGGCTCAGTTGGTAGAGCATGCAACTCTCAAACTTCAAGCCCCATGGCTGGGAGTAAAGCTTAGCTTAAAAACTTTTCTTTTTTTTTAAAGACTTTGTTTGAGGCGTGCCTGGGTGGCTCAGTTGGTTGGGCAACTGCCTTCGGCTCAGGTCATGATCCCGGGGTCCTGGGATCGAGCCCCGCATCGGGTTCTCTGCTTGGCGGGAAGCCCTGTTCTCCCTCCCTCATTCCCCCTCCTTGTGTTCCCTCTCTCATGGTCTCTTTCTGTCAAATAAATAAATAAATAAAAATTAAAAAAAAAAAAAAGACTATTTATTTGAGAGAGAGAGAGCACAGAGGGAGAGCGAGAGGGAGAAGCAGACTCCGTGCTGAGCAGAGAGCCGGATGTGGGGCTGGATCCCAGGACCCTGAGATCATGACCTGAGCTGAAGGCTGATGCTTAAGTGACTGAGCCACCCAGGGTCCCCTGTAAAGCTTAGTTTAAAAAAAAAAAAAAGTCATTAGTGATTACTCAATTAAATAGTCATTATTTGTAGACGATTGTATAATACATGGAAAATCCAAAATAATCTACAGATGAATTAGGATTAGTAAATGAATTCAGCAAGGTTACTTATACATACAAAGGTCAACATACAAATCAATTATGTTTTTATATACCATAATAAAAAAAGAAATTAAAAGATTGTACCCTTTATAACAGCACTGAAAAATATTAATTACCTAGGATAAATCTAACAGAATGCATAAAACCTTTACACTGGAAGCTACAAAATATTATGGAGAAAAAATTAAAGACATCCTAATAAATGAAGTGATATACAATGTTGATGGACTAGAAGACTCTAGTTTGTAAAAATGTTAATTCTCTTAAATGAATGTATAGATTCATTCCAGTCCCTAGCAATATGACAAGCTGATTCTAAAATTTGTGTGGAAATGGAAAGGCCAAAATTAGCCAAAGTAATGTTGAAGAACAACACCAAAATAGGAGGATATACATTACCAGATATCAAGACCTATCAGAAAGCCACAATAATTGACAATGTGGTATTGGTGCAAGGATAGACAGATTGACCAATGAAGAATGTAGAATGTCCAGAAACAGACCCACATATCAAGGTCACCAGATTTCTTACCTAGGTGACCCTGTAATGCTGTGGAGAAAAGGGATGATCTTTTCAATAAATGATCCTATAATTAAAATCCATAATTACAAAAATAACAAATTATATTAAAATCAAGGACACATGTTAACCAAAATCTATTATTATAGAGCACTTGAAGGCAGGCCATGGAATGCAAAGAAGGTATTTATAAGACATATATCTGATAAAGGACTCAATTTAGATTATATCAGGTATTTTTTGCAAATTAATAAGAAAAGCACTAAAAAAAAAATTGGAAACAGAATTGAATACAGCCTCCAAAAGAAGAAATTCCAATGTCCAATGAACATTGAGTCAACTTCATTATCAGAGAAATGCAAATTAAAGCCATAGTAAGATACCATACCATACTTACCAGGTTGGCTAAAGTGAAAAAAGATGGAAGGCAAAAAGTATTGGTAAATATGTGGAGCAACCCGAACTGGGGCTGGGAATGTGAATTAGTACAACCACTTTGCAAAACTGGTTCTGAACAAATTCATACCCTGTTTTACCTAGTTATTTCACTCTAGGGATAAACCTAAATGAAATCCCAAAAAGACATACTGTAATGTCCATAGCAGCATTATTTGAGTGGCCTTAAACTTGGAAGCTGTCTAAATACCTATTGACTGTAAAATGGATAAATAAATTGTGTTATATTCACGTGATGGAATATAGATGGAATGAACAGACTACAATTGCGAATAACGTGGATGATTCTCGCAGTGATTTTTTGAGTGAATGAAGCCAGATATAAAAGCATATATACAGTCTAATTCCATTTATATAAAGTACCAAAGTAGGCAAAGTGGTTGTTAGCAGATTTGTACATTTGGGGTGGGGTGGACGTGACTGGAAGGAGACATGAGCAAGGTTTCTGGGATGTGGACAATGGTTTGTTTCTTGATCTGGGTGCCAATCACATGTTCAGTTTGTGAAAATTCATTGAGCTCTATGCTTACGATGTGTACTTTTCTCTGTGTATATCATACTTCAATAGGAGATATTTAAAAATGTAATGATCTCTATGTTTTAAGTTATTTCAGTTCTTGAGTGTGTCTTCTTATTGGCTCACAATTACCCAGATAGCTTCCAAGACTACTTCTAGCATTTGGCTGTCTTCCTTTGCTTTTCAGTTGACACTGGGGGCCAGCTGGAGCTGGAAGTTCAGTTTGAGAACTTAGTTGACCAGAGTGGGGAGGACAGGGAGGAGAAAGGTTAGAAGAAGAGGAGGAGGGAGGAAGAAGGGGAGAGTGATTGCATGTAGGGATGAAGGAAAACTTGTTCACTTGTGGGTATAACCTAAAGGAACCCCTGCAGGAGTTCACGAGGATTGGTATGTGTAAGCATCTCTCTTTAATTGGAATTTCTTCTTCTTCTTCTTCTTTTTTTTTTTTTTTTTTAAGATTTATTTATTTAGAGAGCGCACACAAGCGACGGGAGGGGCAGAGGGAGAGAGAGAATCCTCAAGCCAACTCCTTGCTGAGTGGGGAGCCCCACGTGGGGCCCAGTCGCAGGACCCTGAGATCATGAACTGAGCTGAAATCAAGAGACAGATGCTCAACCACCTGAGCTACCCAGGCACCCTATTTGGAATTTATTCTTAAAAATTTTTAAAAATCTCTGGAAGTAACAGCTAACAAAATTTAAAATAAATCATGAATTGTAAATTTGTTCATTTATTTACAAATGAATAAGGCTGATAAATAAGTGATAATTTGAATATGGTAACTGCTAACTTCTTACATCTCTTCTATTTTTTCTTTCCGTAGACACCAGTAGTCAAAAATCATAATTTGCTCAGCAGATTATTTTGATTTCTGAATCTCTCTATCCAGGGGCGCCTGGGTGGCTCAGTTAAGCATCTCCCTTCAGCTCAGGTCACGATTCCAGGGTCCTGGGATTGAGCCCCACATTGGGTTCCTTGCTCAGTGGGGGGTCTGTTTCTCTCTCCCCCTCTGCCCCTCCCCTTGCTCTTGTTCTCCAGTGTGCACGCTCTCTCTCCCTCTCTCCCTCAAACAAATAAATAAAATCTTTTAAAATAAATAAATAAATCTCTCTATCCAGATTGATTGAATATGGATTACTGAGACTATGGGAATCTAATTAATGAAGTTTTTCCGTAAGAAATTTTTTTATAAATTGTTTTTTCCCCTCAGGTGGTATGTTATTTTGTTACGATGTTTCAACCTATCAGAGTAAAGATGGCAAACCATTGAATCGACTGATGGCCAGTAGAGGGCGAAGTTTCAAGCAGACCTCACTTGCTCTAGTGCATGAGGTAGGTGCCTCCCCATGCTGTGTAACAGGTTCCTCTCTCTTTGTATATGTTTAGGGGTTTCCCCCTTAAGTTTATGATCATGAAATTTAGTGTGTGTTCATTTTATTTTTTTCAAGGATTTTATTATTTATTTGAAAGAGAGATAGCACGAGAGAGCATGAGGTGGGGCGGGGGAAGGAGAAGCAGGTTCCTCACTGAGCAGGGAGCCGGATGCTGGGCTCGATCCCAGGACCCCGGGATCATGACCTGAGCTGAAGGCAGACCCTTATCTAACTGAGCCACCCATGCACCCCTGTCGGTTGCTTTTAAAGGTAACCAAAATAGTTGACTCAGTTGAATACTAAAATATTTGGAAGTGTTTCTGAAAGAAAGTAGCATGCTTTTCCCACTGCCCAGCCTTATTATTAGGGAGTAGTATGTAGGAATTTGGTTTATTTCATCATTGTTTAACTTGTATTGTTCAGAATAAATACCAGCTTGTTATTTAAAGAAATAATCTTGCCTGTTTCTTGATTTGAATCCTTTACAAGTATGTAGGGCACCAGTGTTTATATATTTTGTGAATGTGGGGCATTAACAGTAAATAAAAGTGTTTAAGGAAAAAAACCCTCTGGTTTTAGTGTTTATTCTGTTTTTCCTTTAGGCTACCCTTTTAAAATAAAGTTATGTGGTGCCATGAGATGATTTGTATAAAGTCTGATCATATCATATTATAGCAACACCAGAGGGAAGAGAGAATCCAGAGAGCACATGGGAAATGTGTGCTTTGGTGTTATCTTTTATTAAACATTTTACTACCGTTACTCATTCAGGTGTATATGAATTAAAATAAATGAATAACAAAGTATCATAGCAAAGAGGTTTATTTTATATAATTTAGACATGGTAGGTTATGTACCACTTATAAATGAAGATAGGAGTTGTAAAACATTTAATGGTTTGATGTAAACTTAATTAGAGCTACTACAGTATATTTGTACTAAATCTCATTTTGGTGTGTAATTTATAAATCTTGGCATCACTAATTTGGCTGGATTATATGCTGCATCCTCTCTGTTGCCACGAGTAGCATATCCAGTTTTTAGAGATCTGTCTTTATCCTGTGCCACCCATCTTTCATATATTTAATTAGAGTTGCAGTTACGTAAATATTTGGTTCAAAGCCTTTTTTGTATAATTCGGTGTCTTCGCTTAACTAAGGAGGGACTAAAGATCTGGGAGGAAAAGAGGTCTAATTTTATGAAAGAGAGAACATAGGTGATTTCTAGATTTGTTATCCTTAACAGCTTTTTACTTGCTACAGAGAAGGGAGAGATTTGGTGCCTTTTTGTGTTTTTAAGCTGTGTACCTAGGAGATTGAAGGATACTTAACCAAAGTGTTAAGTATTGGTGGAAAGCTGATTTTAGAAGTCACCATCAGAACAGAAACAAGAAAAAGTGTTAATATGAGGAGTAGCAGAAGGCAATCTAATAAGTTTCAGCAAATGGCATCCAAACTTATGAGGTGTGCCTTGGATATGAACAAAGTATTTGGGTTAAAATACTTGCTACTTGTGTTGTAGAATGCCTAGAAAATTTCAAAGAGATGAGAAAATCATTATTTTAGGAGTCAGTTGGAAGATCTGTTGGATAGAATTTTGTCGGATCTATGGTAGGATTTTAGTTTGGATTCATCTTGCAATTTATTTTAAAAAAAGGGCAGAGATAAAGAATGAGTCATACAATTTCTCAAACTAGGTGACAACAAATAATACGACTTTTAAAATCTGGTTAATCAGAATAATTGCAATGATAATAGCTGATAACCAGCTCAGGTTTCTTAAAAATTGCTATATATAGGGGCGCCTGTGTGGCTCAGTCGTTAAGCATCTGCCTTCAGCTCAGGTCATGATCCCAGGGTCCTGGGATCGAGTCCCGCATCGGGCTCCTTGCTCGGCAGGAAGCCTGCTTCTCGCTCTCCCACTCCCCCTGCTTGTGTTCCCTCTCTCGCTGTGTCTCTCTCTGTCAAATAAATAAATAAAATCTTTAAAAAAAAAATTGCTATATATATATATATAAATTTAATCTCTACAGTAACACTGTGAGGTTGGTACTGCTAATGTGCTTGAGATCACAGAGCTCATAAGAACAGGAGCCTGGATGGGGCACCTGGGTGGCTCAGTTGGTTAAGCGACTGCCTTCAGCTCAGGTCGTGATCCTGGAGTTCCAGGATCGAGTCCCGCATCGGGCTCCCTGCTCGGCGGGGAGTCTGCTTCTCCCTCTGACCCTCTTCCCTCTCGTGCTCTCTGTCTCTCATTCTCTCTCTCTCAAATAAATAAATAAAATCTTAAAAAAAACAAAAACAAAAACAGGAGCCTGGAAACTGAACCAGGCAGTGAGACTCAGGGTGATCCTTGAACTACCCTACACCATCCCAGGTTAAGCAGAGAGCATTTTAAAAGTATCTTTGGATCTTCCCAAGATGACTCTAGTATTTCCTTACTCTTCTCCTTGCTTCTGGTCTTTACTTTGTTGGGATCCTTCTGGTATTGTTGCAGGTGACATTTCTTCAAACTTTTTTGGGTTCTCATTATTGCTTCTGAGTCTTTTTATTTTAAAAATTTCTGTCATGAGAGTTTCATTTGGTTTATTCACCCATCGATGGACCCTTGGGTTGTTTCCAGTTTTTGGCAATTATGACTCAAGCCACTATAAGCAATTCTCATATAGGTGTATGTGTGGACATCTGTTTTCATTTCTTTTGAGTAAATAAAGATGTAGGAGTGGGATTTCTAGGCCATATGATAAGTGAATGTAACAAACTACCAAACTTTTCCTAGTGACTGTCCCATTTTGAGTACCCACCAGCAACGTACGGGAGTTCCCTTTGCTCTGCCTCTTTGCCCATACTCCTCAGTTTTTTAAAAGCTAGCCATTCTCGTACATGGAGAGTGGTTTCTCTTTTGTGGTTTTGTGTTTCCTTAATGGCTGTTGATGTTGAGCATCTTTTTATGTATTTTTTTTTTTGCCAGTCGTACCTTTTCTTCCATGAAGTATTCTGTTCTTTTGCCTGTTTTGTTTTTTTTTAACCAGGTTTTTCTTTTCAAATGAGAGATCTTTATATATTCTGGTATAAATTCCTTATTAGAAATGTGTTTTGCAAATGTGGTGTTTTATTGTTTTTGTTTGTTTACCAAATCTGTAACTTGTCTTTTTATTTCCTTGGCAGTGTCTTTTGAGGAGCAAATGGTTAGCTTTAAAGAATTCCCAGTTTATCAAAGTTTTCTATTCATAGTCCTTGTGTTCTGTCTAACCCGAAGCCTCAAAGATCTTCTGTTTTCTTTTTTTTCTCCTATATTTTCTTCTTTCTTTATTTTTTAAAAAATCGAGGCATAATTAATGTGCTATGAAACCCACTCATTTAATGTGTGCAGTTCAGTGGTGTTAGCTCTTCACAGTTGTGAAACCATCAGCACAATCCATTTTAGAATGTTTTCATCCCACCAAAAAGAAATTCTGTACCTACTAGCAGAAGACTCCCATTTCCCTCTTTCCCTAGCCTCCAGGCTAATCTACTTTCTGTTTCTACAGTTCCTGTATTTTGGACATATCATGTAAATGGAATCGTACAATATGTGGTCTTTTTGTCAGACTTTTTCACTTAGTATATAATATTTTCAGAGTTTATATATGCTGTAGCATGTGTCAGGACTTCATTCTTTTTTTATGGCCGAATAATATTCCATTATGTGAATCTACCATATATAGGTTATCCTTTAGTTCCTTGATGATCTCCTGTGTTTAAATATAGAAGTTTTATAGTTTATGGTTTACATTCTAGCCTAGGATCTACGTGAGTTAACTTTTCATGTGATATGAGTTATATTTATTGAATATACTACCCTTTCTTTCCCGAGGCACCTCTGTAGAAAGTCATTTGTCCATATGTATGGGTCTACTTCTTCTTCTTCTTTTTTTTTTTTAAGATTTTATTTATTTATTTGAGAGAGTGAGAGCTAGAGAGAGTGAGACAGCGTGAGCACACACACAGGGGAGGCAGAGGGTGAAGCAGACTCCCCACTGAGCAGAGAGCCCGAGGCGGGGCTCAATCCCAGAACCCCGGGATCAAGACCTGAGCCGAAGGCAGATGCTTAATCGACTGAGCCATCCAGGCACCCCTGCATGGGTCTACTTCTGCACTCAGTTGTATTCTCTTGATCTATGTGTGTATACTTTAACCAAAACCACATAGCTTAATTACTGTTGCTTTATAAAAAGTCTTGAAATCAAGTAATACGAGTCCTCCAATTTTGTTGTTTTAAAATTTGGCTATCTCGGGCCTTTGGCTTTTCCATGTAAATTTTAAATCAGCTTTGAGAAACCACAAAAAAGCCTGCTGTAATTTTGGTTAGAAATGTATTGAATCTGTAGATCAATTTGGGAGAGAATTGGGATCTCACTAATAATGAGCCTTTCAACTCATTTATATATATCTTTCCATTAATTTAGGTCAGTGTTTTTTATTACAAATCCTATGCATATTTTGTTAGATTTAATGAGTTTTGCATGTCCCTAAGTATTTTGATGCTACTGAATCAAATTGTTTTTTCGTTTGTCTTAATTTGCAGCTGCTCATTGCTAGTATATAAACATATAATGGATACTTTTATATGACTTTACTAAACCCACTTACATATTCTTGTTGCTTTTTTGTAGCTTTTTTTTTTTCTTGCCTGATTACACTGTATAGGGCCCTCCAGGATAGTGTTGAACTGGAGTGGCAAGAGCAGACATTTCTTATCTTATACACAGTCTTGCAGGAAAACATTCAGTGTCTTAACATTAAATATGATGTTATATTTAGCTTATTTTAGTATAAAGATTTTGTAGATATCCTTTATCGGGTTCGCAAAGTTTCCTCTTATTCCTAAATTGCTGAGAGTTTTTATCACAAACGGATGTTGAATTTTGTCAGATGTTTTGTTCTATGTCTATTCAGAAGATTGTATACTTTTCAGGCT